ATATATATATATATATATATATATATATATATATATATATATATATATATATATATATATATATATATATATATATGTTCAAAATAAATAAATAAAAGTGAACACCAGGGAAAATCCTTAAACTATAAAAGTTTAATACCAAGTTTACAGACACCAAGCTTTCGTCAGCCACTGCTGACATCATCAGGGCTTAAGAAGCCAGTCCATGGGGGAGTCTTTTATAGGTTGAGTGGAGCCTGCACACGACCCCTGGACCTCGTCACTGGTCCTAATTGTGTAAGCTGCGTTCCAATGGTAGTTTTTACATTACCAGCTGTTCCTGCCTTGCATTTCCTGCTTGTGTGTGTGACTTCACATGTCTCATTTTTGCTTGGGCTGGGGGCAGATAAAACGTTCCCCCCTCCTATCCTCCTTGACCCTGTTCCCCTTGCCACCTGACCGCCTGATCCTGCCCTCCTACCCCCTGCAACCATCGAATCCACCGGACCCGGGGTGCCTGTTCCCTTCTCTGGAGCCCGGCTGATCCCATCCACCCTGCTGCAGCTCCTGTAGGCGCTTCCCCCCTTTTTTCTCTAGCCGTATCTCCTGTATCTCCCATATCCCTCAGCAGCCTGCCCTTGTCATTCTTTTGCTCGTTCCACCTGGGCTGCCTAGGCTCATTGCCTCCCTCCGCTTCTTCTCTCTCTTCGCCAGTCCCCTTCCTGTGCCCACCCCCTCCACGGATGCTATTCTGTCCAAGTTTACTCCTCCCCCCTTCATGCCTGCCATTCCTAACTCGGCCGTCAGCACTCTGGGGGTTGCTCCGTGCTTCACGCTGGCTCAAACAGACTGGAGCCACGGGGTGGGGTGGTCAGGTTGCCACTGCAGGGCGGCTCGGCGGGATCACCTCCTCCTTCCTTGTACACGATCGAGTGACTATCATTCTGGGACCCCCCTCCTTCCTATCGGCCTCCGTCCTGTCATCCCCACCCGACTCGGTCTTGGCGGGTCCATTGCGCATGCTCTCCGCGCGGGTGTCCCCGGCTCCAGCTGAGAGTGCTCGGCGACTCGATTCCGATGTTGTTCCTCCATTGGGGGGTGTCGCCTTGCTCCGGTGCCTTGGGGGGAGGGGGGAGGGGACTCCTGACAAGTCAGTCGTCACTCCTATACCCTCCCTCATTGTCGATCCCTGTGTTCTTCGGGAGCGCATACATTTCTTGGCGATGGGATCCTCTGCCCGTAATCCCCATTGTGCCCGGGTGTCTGGAGGCGGTTGGGGGGTAAGAGATGCTCTTCCTGTGGCTTTATTGATTCTGCTGACCTCTCCGGTGTGTTGTTACGGCGCTTCCAGCGGGGTGGGGGCTGACTGCTCACACTCCATGCCCTCAGCGCTAGGTGCGCTGGACAGAGATCAATGTGCCGATTAATTCGCTCCCGAAGAACACATACCTTTCACCTCCCCCCTCTCTCTCCCCACCAAAGTTACTTGGCACGCCCATAAGGCAGCCGCGCGGGAAGTGAATAGGGGAGAAGGAGAGCAACATCGTCCCGTTTTAGGGGCGATCACTCGTTCCCGCGCGGCTGCCTTACGGGCGTGCCAAGTAACTTCGGTGGGGAGAGAGAGGGGGGAGGTGAAAGGTATGGGAGAGAAAGGGAAAGACCGAATGAAGGGAGAGGTACGGCTGCAGGACGAGGTGGGGAGCAGCGCAAGGATGGATGTGTGCCCCCGGCTAACCGATGGGGGAGAGGAAAGTGAGCTAATGCTGGCACCCAGGGATCGCGGTCACGCGCCCGCTGGGCAGGGAGGAGGAGAAACATCGAGCAAGTTAGACCAAGGCGGCATACTCCGCAGGGCGTTTGGAGGGAGGAGGGGTGATGACAGCGTTAGTGTACGACACGGTCCCACCCCCGGTAGAGCCAGACGAGGCATTGATACGGAGTTACAGGAAGGAAGGAGGAGAGAGGGCGAGCAGGGTGGTGATGTAAGGATATGAACAGCTCAGGTGGATTGGCTGAATGGGGTGAGAACGAGGTTGGAACGGCGATTGGCCAGTGGAGCGTTACGGTAGCATCCATGGGCCAGGTGCAAAGGCGGCTTGATTATAACAAGCGCCCTCCCATTGACCTACACAGATCCCTGAAGATGCCGGCAGAGAGCCGGTGAAAGCTTGGATCATTATTTATTAAAACTTTTTAAAGTTTTTACTCTTCCTGGTGCTCATTGTTGTCTGCATGTTTTTATCATGAACACACCCAGGAATCAGTCGTCGGTTTTTAGAATTGTTTTTAATATATATATATATATATATATATATATGTGTGTGTGTGTGTGTGTGTGTGTGTTTTCTGAGGTTTTCACGGGTGTTTGTATGTAGGTCTTTGGTTATTCGGGTTTTCTCCCACGTAAAATTGGAAATGTCTTGGCGACATTTCGACGAAGTCCCATTCGTCATCTTCAGGCTGGTGTCTACTCCTAGAAGCACGAAGCTGAAGACACCAGCCTGAAGATGACGAATGGGACTTCGTCGAAACGTCGCCAAGACACTTCCAATTTTACGCGGGAGAAAACCTGAATAACCAAAGACCTACATATATATATATATATATGTGTGTGTGTGTGTGTGTGTGTGTGTGTGTTTCAAAATTTGGATTGCTAAAAGACCCATTAGGTCTTATTTTGGGGGGATGTCTTATTTTTCCCATATGGAGCAGGCAGCAAGCATGTGGGGGCAGAGCAGGATGCTTGGTACAAACAGCGGGGCATGGCCTGCGCATAGGATGGATACGCAGAGCTTCGAAGAGCAGCAGCAATTGGGAAAACCTCCGAGTGTAGGGACGGACAAACTCCCAATATGAGAGAGTTTGGGTGGAGAAGTGCGCGTGCCCTTCCTGTGCCAAACCAGCCCCTGCAACCCCAGGGAGGCTGTGCTGGGTGGCAGTAGGAAGGGCAGCGAGGTAGGGGCAGCCAGTCTGATGCTTCTCTGGGCAGATTGGTGGGGGCATTGCCCCAGGGATGCTGAGGGGCCATCTTCCTGACCCAACTAGTTCAAGAGTTGAGTGGAGAGGCAGCAGCCCAGGCCCAAAGTGCCTGCAGAGCCCTGGAGGGTCGGGGAGGGTGCTGAAGTGAGCGGGTGTCCTGCCTGCAGTGCCTGTGCTGGCTCCACATTCCCTGCCAGAGTCAGAATACTGCCGTATTTCAGTAGGTGCCGGCCTTGCCCTCTAGTGGGCCTGGGTAGCTGCTGGAGAGAGATGGGCCCATTTCAGTGCCTGGAGCCCTTGGGGGGGTTGCCTTGCCACCTGCTTTCCAGTTCCATCACATTTCTCTGCTGCTATAGAGCTGGAGAGCTTGCCGCACCACCACACAGCTCCCCTCTCTTCCCCAAAGCATTCCTTCACTAGCCTGCTTTCCAGCTGCACTGTGTTTCTCCGCCGCCGTGTGCAGGGAAACAAAAGAAGTTTGTGGGACTAAAAAAAGAAGTTCAATTAGACCTTCCAACTTCATGAGATCTTTTCTTTTCATGAGAAGAAGCACCCTCTCCTTCACCTGGGCCAGCAGGAAAGACAGAAAAAAACCTAGCCAGCCATTGGCTATAAGTGGGAAAAAGCAGGGGCCGCTTCAGGAGGCTGCCTTTATATACAAAGAGCTGGAGTGCTACGCTTGGCCTGCTGATGAAACCCAGACTGCGGCTCTATGAGTTCCTGCACAGAAGAAAGGGAATCACTGCCTGCTTTTTGTTTTTAAATAAATCTGATGAACCAGCTTTGCCCCATCTGCCCCTGTGCCTCTGTACTGTTTAGCCCTGGATGTCTAAGAGACGAGGGTATGGGAGGCCTGGCTGTGGGAGCCCTGGGGTAAGCTCACCTCATGCAACCAGACGCTGGGATGGAGTGTGTGTGGGGGTCTTAACTAGGGCTTATATTTGGGGTAGGGCTTATATTATTTTCGGGCTAGATCTTATTTTCGGGGAAATACGGTATTCTCTGTGATCTACATAGAGCTACTATGATTAGGCAGAAAACCTGTCCAGTCAGGACTTGGGTTTTTCTTACCCCAGCTCTGAGGTTGACTGCTCTTCTGTTTTCCTGCCTTCAAAATTTCATAAATAGTTTCTTGCAATCCCTCTTTCAGTGCCTGAAAAACCTGGATTAGTTGCTTCTGGAGGCAGAAGCTGCATTGGGACCATCCAAAAAGTCTCAGGAAGGCCCCAGGGATGTCCCAGAGATCTGCATGAAAATTAAAGCTCCCAAAGATTTACATTCTTCTCTAGGTGCAGCTCCAGCAAAGAGGCAGTGACATAAGCGGTCAGAGAGAGGTCATCATCCACACCACCCTGCACACATAGAGAAGAAGCCAGCAAGAGAAATCACAAAGGACCTTTTCCTGATACTTTGATTCACCTGACTCTGTCCAGTTTTCTTTACTACATGGCTATCTCCTACGCTACTGCCTCAGATCACGTGGTTCCTTACCTTCAGGGCATTGTTAAAGAGCCTCCCCACACTTTGAAAGCAGCCACTGGGAAGTTGGTGTTTCCTCAACCAGTCCACGGCATTCTCAATATGCTTTTCATACACATAGATGTAGCACTTTGCCTGGCCAAAAGCTTTGGCCACAAATGCAGTCAGCCTGAGCAGCAGAAAAGAAAAGAGGAAAGAAAATACCAAAGAACTAGCAGCACCTTCAGCTTCTCCATAGTCACCTCTCATGACCCTGCAGTTGCCATCTGGTCAGTTGAGAGTTATGAGAAATAGCCAGAGAAAAATAGAGGGATGAAAGTGAGGGCCCAGCAAGTGTCCTCCTAATAATATTTGGGGAGAGGGAGAGATCCTGCTGCTTCTGATTGAAGGAGGCATAAAAGCCCTGCTGGCAACTCCAAAAGTACTTCCCCCTGTCATTTGGTGAATTTAGAGGAGAGAACATTCTGAGAAAAATGGCTGTTTTGCTCCCTTACCAAGTGTTTCCCTCTTTGTCACATTTCCCAAAGGCACTATAGGAGCCATCGTCGTGCTTATAAAGCAGCTGCCATTGATACCCTGCAGAATAAGGAGGAAAGAATGCTCTCAGGTCTGTCTTGATCCTATAGGACTCTGCTGGTGCTCTTCAATTTCACCCGAGAAATTCAGACATAAAAATAACTTCTCAGATATAAAAATGCAGAAAGCACTTAACATTTACCAAAAATGACTGGTATAAGGAGGGATGGTCTTGGGATGGCAGGCTAGGTCCCGACTTAATCTGGATGCCACCTGGTTCTTGCAAAGCCTGGCCTCCCCCAAAAGACCTTCTAAATAAGAAAAAGGCCCAACTCACCACTCTTCATGTGCTCTATTGCCCGATTCCTTAACTCTGGAGTCACCTGATTGGTTTCTTTCAAGTACTGGAGTACCACAATGTTGGGAACAAACTTGACCATATTCTGCTCACCACAGCCAAAGGGCATCTGAAGCAGATGGTCTATATTTTCTAGTGCAGCATCCATAATATCTCCTGAATATTAACAAAAAGAGGGAGCAAATATGAAAGATCTGCCTTCCTCCAAATCCAGAAAACCTTTCTCTTCCTCCTAGGATCTGGAACATTACATTCAGGAAAGTTCTTGCAAACTGAATTGAAAAGCAATTGGCTGGGCAGGCATGGGCACAATACATGACATCATGGAGCAGCTGCTGAGATGCTGTTCCTCAGTGGGCCAGCCCATGGCAGATGCATGACTAGGGATGCTTTTAAAACCTGTCTTTGCCTGGCAGCCAAGGCTGCCCAACTTTCACCTGCATAGGAGAGTACAGTGCACCAGGCAGCATTCCGCTTTCAATGCTCCTCCTTTCAAATATTCTACAAAACATGTGCTTAGTCAAGCACTAAGCTTGCTGCCATGTCTGTTCTCTCTTTGCCAAAGAAGACATCTTTCCTCACCGATGACAGATACGATGGCCCACCCAGAATCCTGCACTACTACTTCTGGCATTGTTAGGAAAACTTCTTCAGATGCTGCTTCTTCTGGAGGGAGTATATGTGTGAATAAAAATGTAGAATTAGAATAGCTACCAAAAATCTAGTTATGATAACTTTCACTGCATACAACATTTTTGCAAGCACCCAGAACATTTCTTATCTATCAAACAAGTGGTTGTGCAGGACAGAATCATCTCATTTTTCCAATAGGGACCTAAGCATGAGAGGTAGCACCTCTAGCTGCCCTACATAAAGACCGAAGCAGGAAGAACACATGCTTCTGAAGTTCTCCCAACTGGAGAACACACTCTGCCTTTTCACCTGTGGCTCCTTCCACCTCTCCTATAGCAGGTAGACACATCATTGTGTTGCCTTCTTATATCAGAGCTAATTCTCAGAGAAGAAGGAACCAGAGAAACAGGCTGATCTTCTCTTGGACCCACCACAAGTACAGCAATGCTGAACAAGATACGCAGCCCAGCCATACCTGAAGAGCACAGGAAAATGTTCTGGGTCTTTTCTTCAAGGACACCTTCTGGCTGTGGGAGGAAAACGGAATTAGGGTTATTTGGAGGTATGTTTTTAGAGGACTTCCTCAATGTCGATTCTTTGACTGGCCAAAGAAGAGCAGCCATCCACCTGGTCGTAGCCTTGGACACACAAGGCACTGCAAGATTCAGAAGCTATTGACACTGAAGAAAATAATCCCAGTATCAGCCCCTTCTGCAAAACCATTTCTGGGTTCTGTAGGAGAAGAAGTGGCAGAACTTAGGGACAGAATAAAAGAGGAATCAGTCTAGAGTCTCTTTGTAGCCACAAACACACTAAGTCCAACCTTTCTTGAATTCCACTGACTCTTATCTGGCACAAAGATAATGCTAAGCATTAATTGATTCCTGTGCAAAAAAATATTTAGTAACAAATCAGTTTAATTGGAACTTCACGTGTGGTCCTAATATTTCACACCTGACAGCCTTTGGGATATTGGTTAGTGCTTGAACTGGAATTTGATTGATTTCTTCACTGACCTTGACAAGTAAAGATTTGATCACTGTGTCTGACCGGCCATGCGTGGGAGTGACAGAGATCTTGTTGCCACACAATTCTTGGGTCTCCTCAGCCTCACTTCTCACTGAGATGTTCACATGCCCTACAAGAAGGCAAAAGCGACAGAAAGCAGCTTGTTCCAGACTTTCAGCCATGACTTTAGTATGAACAAAAATGGCTGCTCTTTTCTTTTTTCCCAAAACCCATTCTACAACTCCTCACCACCATTAATAGATGCTGCAAATGCAATGCCAAGGCCACCTCTGCATCACTCTACTCATGGAGCTGGATGCACATCTGAGTGCAGAGGGGCTGAATGACTCTTGAACAGATAGAGCTATGGTGTCAGGTCCACCATCGTGTCCTGCCATTCTGTTGAAGGGAGGGAGGGGAGGAAGGCTTGTTGGCATTTTTTGCATGCTTTCACTTTTGCTGTAACTGCTTGGGAATTGGGGAGGGGGATTCTCTTAGGAGACAGAGTAGATTCCTTCCCAGCCAGTTCCAGCCTGGTTCCAAGGACGCCATACCCCAAGAGTGACTTGTTATCTACCCAGCATCTCAGTGTTCTCAAAACCACCTTGCGGCATCACATTGGTTGCCGGTGGACTGGTTAGGGGGGTGGGGTTTGGGAAAACAAAAGAATTGCTTTTTGTTTCGCATGGGACCTTCAGATTCCATCTGACTTTTCTGCACCACTTTCCCTCAGTAAAAGTTCTTTTGATTCAATTCAATGAAGTCAAGAGTTTTGCTTTCCTGAGGGACCAGCTGGGGCAGGTCCTTACATATGGGCTATGTTCATGAATCTGTCCTCAGTCCTGGTTCCACCAACATTAACAGATCTTTCAATATCTTGGTTAGAAAGAAAACCGATCCCATCCACTTGCCTCTCCAAAGTTCCAGTGTAACTTCTGCTGAGTGCTCTTGATTGACAGGCATTTGAAGAACTAAAAGGATGTCAATTCAACACACAGAACCCCCTATCATTTATCCTTTGTCAGAACCCTGTCTTTCTATGGGCATGGGGCTTCTTGATTGAGGCAGGTCCTTACATTAGGGAGGATCTGCAAAGTGGTCAACCTGGAGGGAAAACACCTATCGTGGGGACCATGCAAAGGATGTCGAACCACGGTGGTGAGAGAGGAGAAAGCAACCTTTGCGGGGAAGTTCCCCCTAAGGCTGGCCTGAGTGGCAGCAGCTCAGATTCCTCCAGCTCATCTGATAAAGCTATGACCTGAGAAAGTTGGGAAAAGCTGAGATGGTCGATTGGCATGGGAAGGAAGGAAGAATGGGAGGCAAAAAATAGGAAGGTGATCTTTAAGCGTGGCAGCCATCAACCAGGATGGAAGCGAGAGCTGGAGATGTCGAGAAACCAACCCAGTCCTACCGCTTCCTCAAACAAGCCATCAGCCTGATGGTGGAAGCTTTCAAGTCCCTTAAGGAGAAGAAGAAGACCCCTGCTAGGCTCAGTGGTGCTGGGACTGGTGGAGGAGGAATGCCGGGAGAGTGAGTTGGCAAACCCAGGTCCCTCCACTAGTGTTTCAGAAGGCCATGGATGCGGCAGCCACCCCAGCACGGGCGTCCCCAGCTGGGGGAGATGGGTGCTGAGCCAAATGGAGGACATACTGGCCTGGTCGAAAGGAACCACTCTGAAGTACGACGGTACGCCTCAGCAGCTGGGATTCTTCCTAGCCCATGTCCTGAGTTACATGGAGGAATATGGGCAAGATATCCCCAGCGACAGCGGATGGGTAAGAGTGGTGAGCATGGACCTAGAGGGAGCAGCTGCTCACTGGATGGTGACTCTGCATAACACCGATGCCCCCAAACTCCGAAACTTCAACCAATTCATGGCTGCCCAGAGGCAGAGGCTCGAGGACCCCTTAGCTAACCAGAAGGCCAGAGAATGCATTAAAATGGTGAGACAAGGTTGTTACCCAGTGGCTGAGTATATGGAGGAGTTTAGAGACCTGGCATGCCGCCTCAATTGGTCAGAAGAAGTCCTAGTAGGGTATTTCAAAGACAGGCTGAACAATGATCTGTGCCATGCATGCATCGCCCAGGGATATCTGGACCGCCTCCACGACTGGTGTATCCTGGTGAGGAAGCCGAGATCGACCAAGCCTGAAGTCAGCGATGTCTGGGATGAACCTGGAGAAGCTTCCCCCAGAGGGAAAATGAGAGGCGACAAAACCCCCACCGCAGCACCACGTTCAACAGCTTGCTTCAAGTGCAGTAAAGAGGGGTATTGTGCTGCAGAATGCCGTTTGCATTGGGCTGCAGAATGCCCATGCACAAACCTGACCGCTCTGGTGGAGGGAAGCCTGTGAAGACTCCACAATGACCCTGGGAGACTGCCATGAAGAGCACTGAGGACGTCAAGGTCCAATCCCCCGGGATCCCGGGAGAAGGAACTCCAGCCCCAACTGGAAAACCACCTGACTGTCCTGACAGTGACTCTGAGGACAAAGTCCTGGTAAGTGGACCTATCGTGCCCCTCACCAGAACCATAGAACTGTTAAGTCCAGGGATTCTGAGAAAGGTGACCCTGAAGGCCCTATTGGACTTGGGTTGCACCTGTTGCCTAATAAGCCCAGCCTTGGTGGAGAATTTAGGGATTCTGGTAAGGAGGCTGAAGAAGCCAATTTCATTTGGCCAGTTAGATGGGTCCATCTCAGGAGAGATTCCAGCCACCCTTGCTATGCAGCCAATCCAGCTCACAATGGGGATCACACAAATACTTTGATATTTATAGTGACCCCTGGCATGGAGTGGCCCCTAATATATTGGGGATGACATGGTTGAGGAAGTGGAAGCTAAGGGTAGACCAGTGGTTCTCAACCTTTTTAATGCCGTGACCCCAACCGGTCATAAGTTGAGGACTAAACCGGTCGTAAGTTGAGGACTATCCAACCGGTCGTAAGTTGAGGACTACCCAACCGGTCGTAAGTCGAGGACTTTCCCTGCCCGGGAGCGCCGCACATGCGTGGTTCTGTCCCCTGCGCCGGCCGAGGCGTAGCTGGCAAGCGGCAGAGACGGAGCAGGCCGACCACCAGCTGGCCCAGCCCAAGGGAGGTAAGGCACCCGCCGGAAAAGGGGGAAAAAAATGGTGGACAAAAAAAATGGCGGACAAAAAAAATGGCGGACAAAAAAATGGTGGACAGCCTTGCTTGGCGACCCCCATGAAATGGTCGATCGACCCCAAATGGGGTCCCGACCCACAGGTTGAGAACCACTGGGGTAGACTGAAGGACCGGAGAGTTAAGGTTTCCAAAAGAGAGGCTCACCATATGGGGGGGGGGCGCAGAACAAAGAGGAAAGGAGCTCCGGAGGTGGTAGCAACTGCGAATGATCGGGGGTTGGAAACCATGCCCAAGGAATACCGGGATCTAGCTGAGTGTTCAGTGAAGAGCAGTCTGATGAGCTACCCACACACACACATCAGCCCACTGACTGTGCCATTGAGATCGTACTGGGAGCCAAACTACCTAAGCCCAAAATGTACTCAATGACTCCCCGGGAGTTGAAAGAATTAGAGAAATTTATAGAAAAAACTTTGGCACAAGGTTTCATACAGCTGGCAAGACCAAAAATGGTGGCCCTGGTGCTGTTCTGAGAGAAGAAAGATGGACCTCTTCGCCTCTGCGTGGACTATAGATCCTGGAACACAGTGTACAAAAACAATATCTATCCCCTGCTGCTAATGAAGGACATGTTGGCCCACCTAGCAAAGGGGAAGATAGTCTCAAAATTGGACATACGGGAGGCATATTACTGGGTTAGGATTAAGGAAGGAGGCAAATGAAGGATGGCATTTAACTGCCCCATGGGGTGCTTCCAATTCAGGGTGCTCCCATTTGGACTGCAGGGAGCGCCAGCAGTATTCATGCAACTGATAAATGAAGTCCTTCAGGAGCACCTTTACAAGGGGTTTCTTGTGTACTTGGATGACATTTTAATTTTCACTGAAACAAAAGAGGAGCATGTCAAATTAGTCATGACGGTACTAAATAAACTGCGGGCCACCCGACTCTAAGCCAAGCCATAAGAAAAAGATTGACTATTTGGGATATCACATATCTCATAATGGGATAGAGATGGACCCAGAAAAGGTCCGGGCAGTGCTAGAATGGGTGCTGCCATGCACGAGGAGGCAATTGCAAAGTTTCCTGGGGTTTGCTAATTTCTACCATCAGTTCATCCCCTCCTTTGCACAAATCATGCTCCCCATTACCAAAACCTAGTCAGCCACTGAAATGGACTATGGCGTATCAAGCCGTGTTTGAGAAATTAAAGAGACTTTTCTCAGCTGAACTGGTCCTAAAGCACCCAGACATAGAGAAACTTTTTGTCTTTGGGTTTTACAAATTTTATTAATTTTTCAAGCATAAACAAATAATACAAATATGGTGTATTTCATTAAAAAACAAAAAAGAAAACCTAAATTTTCAGAAATGATCGGCGGTCCCCCCCCCTGCATCCACCCTCACTCCCTCAACCTTCCTACCTACTTCCTTCTTCCTTCCTTCCCCTCTTATCCACGACCTCTCCTCCTTCCTCCTTTCCAACTATCCTACACATCCCATCACCTTCTTTATCACCTCCTCCGGTGCAGTTTAGGGGTACTAGCCAATCATCTCTTCTAAAAAAAAAAAAAGTACATTATTTTTAAACACCAAATTTTATATGATTCTACCCCTTCATCCCCTTCCCCCCGGACTTCCCAGAACTGATTACAGGGTTAGACACACATCATCCCAAGTCTAAATATTACTACCCAATATAAAGCAATCAAATATAAACATACTTTAACTCAAATAGAGACAATCAATATAAGCATTTATACATATAAACTCTAAACATATATTCTATCCATCTTCCCTAAACCCAAATATCTAAAATTAATCTTTGCCATTTCTAGAAAAGAAAAACAACCAATCATCTTGCTGTTATTCATTTTCCATAATCCCCAATAAAAATAATTACAGAATAAACTTTATCTATCACATATCCATCAAATATAATAAATTACAAATTATTTCCCATATCTCCAATAAAATTCTCAAATATTTTAAGCCCATTTAATCATACAATCTTTAATTATAT